GTTTATTTACTATCTTACATGTTTTTATACAAAAAGTGTATTTAGCTATAAAACATGGATAAGATACAATTTTCTATTAGAAATTAATTAATAATTACCCATCATTAAGGTAGGATCTGCGACGTAGCTTTCTCTAGTGAGTAGACTGTGGATATATACATACATATAAACTTCACGTCCCAATTCACAGAAACCGGTATTAAGTAGAAATTAGTTCACTCTATTAGTGTTCCATCAAGTTTGTAGTATATAATACTGACATCGTAATATCACTATTCCGAATGAGTTTATCAGGTTGTAAGGCCGATTACGTCAAGTAACAATATTGGCCAGTGCGTACATGTCAAATTAATGAAACGTAACTTATTCGTTACATTTGAACTGGAGTGTACTCTGTTAATGATTGTTCACGGATATTCACGTTTATTATGTGCAATGTATTTGAAAGTTGTTGATTTACTGAAATTAGATTTACATAATAGAAAATGGAGCAGTCATTAATTAAGTGTAATTTAATGAATTATTGGTAGATCTCGCACGCTTTTAAAGAATTATATTTGTTACTAATAAATTTAGGAAATTTGGAATAAAATACTCTACCCTATATTAACAGTTTTATTGAATTAACAATAATATCAAACTTTATTACATGTTCCGGAATTTATTCTTTCTGACTTTTTCCAAATTGATGACTTATAAATTTATACAACTACGTAATCTAATCATTTAGTGAAGTTTTCATAAACGATCCGTCATTATTGATGGGAAGCATTGATATTTTTCATTTGGTAGACATTAATGGCCGAAAATATCAATTATAAGTATAAATAACAACCAATAAAACCGTTTAAAAATTAGTATTTCACCATTATATTTTGATTAAAGTTCAATTTATTAAAACAGTTACAATCTTTTGAATAAACGTACACTGTCAACAATGTGTTAATTCCCATATACATTTAAACCACCGATTGCTTTGAAATGAAAGAGAAGTTATCTTTGATAACCAATTTCATTTATTGTTGAGCGTTCCATTCAAAACAATGTAATTCCGACAAAACCTTTAATACAAGAATAAATAATTGAGAAACTTCAGGTAATCCTGTTTAACACTAGATTTACGCAACGCTCAAAATTACTGGTCTCTGTTTTCTCATTTCACAATTACTGACATCTAGAGTATTAACACTAGGACTGTCGACTATTTAATACGGTTAATGTCACTGTGTTTGACGAGTATATATTTCATTGCTTGACCTTATTTAGCACACAATAAGAGATTCTTCAAACTAAATTCCACGGTTAATAGGTCGAACACCCGTTTCACTGTTAAATGTTTCGTGTTGTATAATCCAGTTCGATTGGTAGTCGAGATCCAGTGAAACATCGGTGCGGAAGCGCGCGGATAAGTGAGGACGGCGGGGTCGTGCTATCCGGGGTATTAATTTTCCACGGTACGTCTCAAAGATCATCCGGGATCGTCGTCGTCGTCGCAGGAAATTAGTACGCCATCAATATTCCACGCTCCGTTAATACCGTCGTGTCGATTATTAGCGAGTTAGGTATCCAATTGAATATTCCGTACCGGTGTAATTACGATATCCCGTCGGCTGTCGTCCGTTACATAATCGCGAGACGCATTACGCCTAGCCGGACTAATTAATTAGGCGTCGGTGCCCCGTCGCCGTCTCTGTTGTTCGAAGCGCCGCGCCGCGTCGGTCTTGCACCGACGCTTCGATACTTTTCGCGGTCGCCATCCGAAAGCTATCGATCGTTCGACACTGTTGACGTAACGCGCGTACATTATTCCGTTACGCAACGCTACGGGTTGCACTTCGCTAAAAAGGAATATAAAATAAGGCACGGCCGATGTGTTTAATGCCTTTGACACTGATATTACGCAACCCGCCGCTTTGTCATAACGAGACGATAATGGAATCGTGTCTTTTATGTCGCGGATGGAGAGAGATGTTTGATCTTCGTCGAATGTGGAGCACGATAGGGCGTGAAAATAACGAATGCTGTGTATGGTGAGCTGTTGCAAGGGGATATAGCTGGCGAACAACGTACCCCTGTAATAGGGACATTGATCAATCGTTGCATATCAATTTTGACGCATTTTTTACTTGATGTAGCATTTGAACAAATAATTTGGATTCGGGTTTTATACTGGTAATCGGTCACTTTGAAAGAATTAAAGCAGTTATAAAATCTGGATTTGAAAAGTTCGTTTCATTGAATATTTCGTGTTTGAGTAGATTGGTTAATTTTATTATGTAATATGTATACATTTCATTTTATGAAGTTTTACTGTGAAACGTTGAAATAATCCCATTGAAATGTGTATGTCTAAGTACCTCCTCAGGCTATGTATCTTTTGTGGATAAAATTTTACAAAATTGTATTAGTATTTTATAATGAAAGATACGAAAGTCAGTTAACATTTTCATGTTATTATGCACTAAAATATGTGTGACCTCGGAAGGTTAAATTTTTTTCTTAAATCACATTTTTCTTCATTTACACCTATCTCCTGTGTTCCATTACGTTCACGTAGCACGCTACTTTTGAAACAGAATCTTTTCTTTAAATAAAAGAAGTTTCTGTCGTAACGCGCGGCGATGCTAATATTACGCTACTTACCACAGGGCTGCGTCGAGTAAAAAGAATAGAATTATTAACTTGGTTCAGGATATTAGGGATAACTCGATAATGCGGCTTGCACGAACTAAGTCGGATATTCTTACCTCCTGTGTATCCTTCGTTGAAGAGAATAGGAATTTTACCTTTAAAATGTTTATTTTAGATAAGTTGTTAAACCTCAATTCCCGTAATCATTATTTGCGGCTTGCGTTTGCAAATTTCATGACCGGGACTCAGTAATGCGACGATAGACACGTTGATTAAAATTAACATTTGACCCTCGGGCCATTGTTACCCTGTGTATATAACGTTAATGATTCTATGCATTGTAATTATACCGCATCACGTACATTCAACAATTAATTAACCAATAATATAAAATATTATACTGATACAATCACGCAATGAGACCACGACTATTATTTTAATTATTTCTGAGTTAATGGAATTATTTTACTTGCAGATAAAGCAGTTTCGGATTATTTTTCAAATTATAATATTTCAAAAAATTACTCCTTACATTCACGACAAGGAAACGATTTTTTTACGTGTTGGCATACAGCCCAATATTCAGGTTAAGATAGATTTCATGTTTTAACAATTTCTATAATATTAAATACAAAATATACACGCTATTGCATACACAAACGTTAGTTGCTTTTAAATAAACACACACCAATGACAAAAATAAGATATTCCATATGTATTAAGAAAAACATTTGTCACGTTTAATATCCGGACATTCGTTATGACGAGCATTTAGTTTTCCTAATCTCTGCTTCAGTTCCACTACTCTATAAAGCATAGAATTACTCGACTCCAGCCGCGGCAAGCGACCATAACTTCACAGCCGGTGCAAATATAGCGCGTGTTTACACAAACATCCTTCTTTCCCTGTGCCCCGGGGACAGATCCCAGACGCCACAAAACCCCGCAACGCGAAATACTTGCAAGTCAACCGAAAAGTTCATAAATAAAACTATTTACTGTCACAAGAATCATTTATCACACCTTAAAGTCACATTTCATAAAAATTTTCTCCCCGCGTTTGCCACAGCACAAAAGATCGCGACCCCCGCCCCCGAAAGCATCAGCCCCGTTTTCATCTTCGGCTATAAATCTCTTGTACCGCAATCATTGTGGCACATAGTACATCAGCGATATTAAGGTTGAAATTTCCGCTCGTTAGGAGCATTTGTCGCGGAACCTTGTCGGGGCCCGTGTTGCGTGTACGCGCCCCGCGATAATCGCGGAGGGGCGCGGCGCGGCTTAAGGGTAAAGAAAATCGCGCGACGATTAAGCGTGGAGGGCCGTGTACACGGAATTAGCATTGTAATTGCAGAGGGTGAGGTTGCGGTGCGACCGGTCCTGAACCACCCCCCGACCTCGTGTCCGGCAAACCACCGTCGCACCGCCATCGTAAAACGCAGACTGCCCTACGCGCGGCCGATCGACCTGAGCTGACCTATCCTAACCCGCTGTGGCTTGACCTAACCTCCTTCTCGAAGGGGAAAGCTCGGCGACCCGGCGATCCGTGGATACTCGTAGATAACCTATCGCGATTTTCATCGCCGTCACCGGCGATCGATGGGTTCCGACGGTTTTCGAGTGGCCCCGACGTTTAGTGGCCGGCGATCTTTTCATCAGTGTCGGTGTAACGTTGACATTTTTTTGTGGTTCTTTTGGGAAAGATGAGAGGATTCTCATTCTATGCCTCGCACATGAGGTGGTGTAGGTATGTGATGGAGTAAGTCGGGGTACATCTCACTTTTTTTTTAAAGTATTATTACATTGTGCATATTGTTAATCATTAACGAAACTAAATATATTTATAAAAGTAAATTATATGTACGGGCAATAGTTAAGTAGGTGTCTGTGCAGGATTCAGTATACCATTAAAAATAATTGAAAGTGTATGTGTAGATATTTGACGATCTAAATGAAACGAGAACGTGTCATCCGTAACCATCTTAATTTAGTTAGATTTAATGAAATTTCCTTTTTGGCATTTTTAGTTATTCTCTTTTAATGGAGTAGTTTATAAGGTAGAGATTATTTTGATATGTGTTGTTTGTTGTAGTGAATGTTAGTACTCGTAGGAGGAATAGTTTCTTCTTTTACTTATATAACTATACATAGTAGATTCCCATATAATGCAGTTAATACGTTTAGCTTTATATTCGCGTTATAGGAAATCGTGCTGCACGAGACTTTTCTAGCATAACACGAATAACGTAAAGTTATTCAGAAAACATGTTTCTAATGATTATTACCATGCCAACTTTTGTTTCCTATGTTTAATGAAAACTAAAAGAATTAGGGAACATGACAAATCGGCAACAGTGAAACAAATAATGTAATGTTCAGTTAAACTTTACTTTATTTTTAAATGCTGGAAATTGTATTTTATTGGTGCCCAAGGAATCGTATTATATGAAAACAGTCACGAGATCTTCGACGCGTTGTAGCAATTCGTGCTGTGGGAACTCGCTTTGCACGCAAGTATACGGTATTTTCTTTTTTAATTGTTCTGCCTAAATTCTACTTGCTATTCTTCACAAAGTAAGCTTCCAAGAGATTTAGAACCGGAGAAATTAGTAGAAATCGTTGATGATTGCCTGCATAGGATATAAGAATAAAAGAATATACGTTGCTGATGCACTTCACTTTTAGTTATAATTTAACCAACAATTCAGAAACACCCCATAATCTAGATAAAACAAAGTGGTATACCTATTTCTCGATTTTTTACACATCTATTTCATTGTTCAGTATAATAAACCAACTACAAAAACAATATTTATTTCCACCATAAACTAAATACATATTTATATTTCAGTCACATCTGAGTCAGATCTTCCTTATTCGTGTAACAGCAAGCAATAAAAGAATTCAAACAAAATAATACAATATTCTCAGACCATCATTCTTCACAAACAAAAATTCTGACTATGTTTTCATAGTAAATGAATGAAAAATTTGAAAGCTGAATGATTAAGGAATTATTGATACCTTAGATTAGTGCCAAACAGTGTAGTATCGCTTCTAGACATAACGAGAAATTCCTTGTCATTGTGTCTTGGTTGTCCCGTGTCCGATCTTGGCCGATCAGATTGGTAATTAGCCCCGTTTGCCAGGTTCCTATAACGATCCATCCAGCGAGCTGATGTCGTACCCTCGAATTGTCGCGTGGGACAGGTGGTCGGCATCAGGGCGAATCGAGACGAGACGCGTACGTACGTAGATTAACGTTCCGCCGTTTCTGCTCTTCGGCCGTGCCAAAACGTCCTATCGCTGCGCGTTTCCAGGATACACAGGATACATTGCTCTGAGAAGTTAAATCGCCTCTCTTCCTCGATCATGTTTGCACGACTTTATAAACCGCTTTGAAAATAGCGCTTCAAGGTATAGAATTCTTACTCTCGTCGGCCCTTCTTTGCCGCAGCCCCATAAAGAGGCGGATGCCTCGCGAGCATCGCAGTGCTCCACATTTGGCTGTCCTCTGCTGTGTAAACCAATATATGTTGCTAGACCGCGTATTTTATGTACTTTCAGCGTTCGCAAAAGCATGAAACATAAAATTATAATAAAATCTAGAATAGTCCTTATATTGCTGTCGTGACAAGGAAACTCGTGATTAGATTGTGGGTCTTTATATGTTTACGGCTCATTTATTTACGTAATAGAAGGAAACGCGTGTATTAACAAAAATTTAGTGTACTTTTATTTGACTACTACAGTAAGGAGTCTTCTAGTTGATAACAGGATTTTTTATAAACCTATGCAAATGAAATTTTGAATAAATGTTTGTAATTTATTTATAGTTAATCTTCTACCAATCGTTATTGAATATATCTGTCTTTAATAATTACAACATTATTATCTGTATAAAGAAATATCTTTAAAATGTTTAAATTCTACTGTTTACGATGCATACGTAATAATAGTAGTTAACGCGCAACAAGAATTTTTCTAAAAATAGTCCCCCTATATCCACGATTTTTAGATTATTTAGTACGAATACTCGTGTCGTTTCTCGTCATAAATCGTTCTTATCGTTCGCTAAACCCGACGCGTTTTGTTTTAAACGGAAACTATTTTCATAGAAAAATTGAAATGACAGTTGAACCGTAACTAAAACCCGTCAAAATATGGAATGAATTTATTCGAAAATTGTTCCACGATTTGCCACGATTTGGAGATTTTTAAAATATTTGCATTGGTCCATCCTTCTATAGTGTTAGGGCTTTTTGCGCATTATTTGCTGAGCTTCGCTACACGTATATCTTGTGTGTTGATGTTCCTCCGTTCGATAGAGCTAGAAGCTATCGCGATTCGCCAGGAAATACAACCCCGCCAGTTCTCATCCTGTTTGTAGACTTTGCAGGGTTCATTCTGTTTCGTTGTTTCCTCCGGTGCAATTTCGAGTTTCGCTAAGGTAAGAGGGCTCCTCGCCGAATACACGCGTATACACTAATTACGAGTCAGTGTGCATCGATCACTGTTGCACCTCTGCTCCCCCGAAGTAATTAGCGTAAATAGAACCGTCCGTGATAATTAACCGTATAACACTGTGCCGCAACACGGCTGCATAATTGTTCCCGTACTGCGAAGACTTATTGTTAAACATAAGTCTTAGCCTAGGGAAGAAATCAAATTAACGAAATAAGGAACTTCGGAGTGATGAGGAGCAAGGAATGCAGCGTAATGACTTTTGTAATACTTTCTTCAGGAAATATTGTTCTGTTCATGTATAAGGTTAGTCGAATTTCTGTTAGTAATTATGTGGAGAAAGCAAGGGTAAACATAAAGGTGCATTCAACTGAACTAATTATCAAAATTAGAATATCTTGCTATGTTTCTTGTATAACATACTTAGAATTTATATACCCGTGAAAAATTATAATATTTTGTAGAGTGTATAAACTGCTACTTCATCCTTTTTGTAAAGTATATGGCACAGAGATGTTATATTTTATTACTTTCAAGATTTTATTTAGACACATAGGAATTATGTAATAGTTATATTTTCTGTTATGAATTGTACTTATTTATATTTATGTTAGCATATTGTACAAGTGATAATAAATAATAAATACACAATACACAATAAAAGGAGTTAATTATATATTTTATGTATATCAACATATAATCAAGATTATACAAAGTGGAAATTTTTAAAAGTAAACATACTATACAAGAAGTTGAAGTGCGTTATATTAAATTATATTTTCTGTGAGTACTAATAATTTTGTTAATAATTGAAATTTTCTGTTTCATAGAACTCTACAAATAATACCGAAGTACACAATATCTTTGATACTTTAACGTTATAAATTTAAATAATTTTCATAAAAATACAATGTTACGCTAACTATGCATGTAAATTAAGGTTTCGAAACCAATGACCAGTGACTAGAGTATACTGGATTAATGATCCATGAACCGTAACAATTACTCTGCTTCAATCCCTTCAGCAACATTGCATTAACACTGGAGTTACTCTGCCAGTCAAAATGTCTGCTTTTGGATTTCTTATTTCGTATTTGTATATTTTAAAAGTATCAAATATTCGAAATGATTTAAAAAATAAATAGGTTAACGGTACGCTCACGAATATTTATTGTACAGTTTACTTCATTATTATTAGAAAAATTGGAGTTCGTTCAAGGCCAATTATCACTGGAATCTCAGAAAAAGATAACACGACAGAGACAAAGATACCTCATCGCCTTTCCTTCGTGGATAATTTCATGAGCGAATATCGTTCATCGCGAGCAGTTTAAAAAAAATGCTTAAACTAAGAAGTGGCGCTTCGTCAGTCAGGCTCGAGCTATTTTTTTCGCTCTCCTTCCGCTTTCAAACCCTTCTTAGGTCGCCCCAGCATGAACTGACTTCTTTTATACGACCATGAACGATTAATGCCGGCTGAACTGCGAAAAAGGACGTTGCCACGGGGCTCGACCGGTTTTTACGATACGCACACCGTCTGCGCCTCTTGTTCCGGCTTTAATGTCCAAGCTTTAGAATGTCGTAACGGGATCTCGGGCAAGTCCTGCTCCGTTATTAAGCGGCTAGTTTAAGACTACTTTAATTCCTCCGATTCGACTTTTAGCTAATAAAATTGAGCGTATAAATGCGAGAAGATATGTGTTTTTATAGGGTGAGGAAACATTTTTGTGGGACATGTATCAAAGAATAACGGTGTACGTTGCGAAGTAGTGAAAGTGTAAAAATGTAATATCAATATATGTATAAAAGTCACCAAAAGTTTGAGTGTAACTTAATGTATCATTTAAAAAATTAGTGCCGTTTATAAGAAAATATAACCGAAAGTTCCGGTGACACGTAATGTGTTAAATTAAAAATTTTCGGGACTCAGCATTGAAATTCTGGAAGCAGCTTTTGGTTTTTTAAATTGACTTGAGCACAGCCTAACAAAGACAAAGAATTGATATAGTGAGCAGAAACGGAATAGACACAGTCCATCGAGCGTTAAAGGTCGAGATGCGGGACTTCAAAGGGATACCGCGTACGTCAAAATAAACATACAATGAAGAAAATTTCAATTGCAATAATTTTAACCTTATCTTTTCCAGTGTAGTACTGGTGGGATTGTTGAAATTTTTCTGATTGAGATGAGACCAAACACGACGAAAATCGAAGTAGTTTTGCCGAGTTAATGTAATTAATGAAATTGAAGGTTCATTTCCTCCAAATCAATAAAACTAAACCGATTTCTGTCGTGTTTTGACTCATTTTAATCAGAAGAATCTCAATGAACTACTGATACTACGTTTGAAAAGGTAAGATTGAAATTTTTATCATTGCACAATTGCTGTTTACATTCGTGGCACCTTGTATTGAAGTGTGTTTGTTTCTCTTCTGCTCTTTGTATTCATTTTTTGTCCTCGTCTATTGAGACCATGTTATATTGAGTTCGAGACAGTGAGAAGCAGGAAAGAGTGAGGCTGGTTCGTTAAAATTTCACCGAGCAAATTCCTTTAAAATTTAACGGAGTAACCCTGTATATGGAAAGTTTGAAGACGTTATTTTGTCGTTTTCAAAAAAATCTGAGATAAATATTTTCTGACAGTATGATACAAATTATGGAAAGGAAGTACATAACGTTTTCAATAAATTGAAGTCAATTAAATTTTAAATGCCAACTTTTATTATTAGAAAAATATCAGGTTGATTATTGAAAATCTACCAAGACCTAACCAAGACCTAATCAAGACTGAAAGGGTACACAAATTGTACGAAGAAAGAAATATACGATACGCTTCGGATAATTTGAACGGATGACAAAGAAATTTAAATTATGTTAAACAGCAAAGCATCATTTTCGTATATTTTAGTATACTATATTCTATATATTAATAATTTTGCAAATTCCCTTAACGTCTATTCATACCTACAAGACCGAGCCATTTGATACGACATACTTTGGAAGCCACTTCTTTTCTCAAAAGTGAAATAAGACCTTCTAAATATAAAGTTAATTTGCCATATTCTTCCCGTTTCATACGTACCAGTCAATACTGCTTTAAATTGGGTTCCATTCCTGAAATTACAGAAATAAATGTTCTGGTTCAATATTCTTTGGACACTATGCCGAATTTCTAACTGTACATGCAGTTTTTTAGTAACGCCGATATGTAAATACGAAGCTTCATATAGATAGATGGTATGTATATACAAGGCTCAGCAAGCATTACACATCAGAACTGTATTTTTAGTACAGCATGAGACGGTTTAAATTGAATTAACTTAGGATGACAGGAAGAAGAATACATCACATCTGAATCAACACATTCGCATCAGTTTATAATTCATGTGAATATAATTATAAGTATATATACGCTTCGACGTAGCAGATATATTAATTTAATTAATTAAGATTTCAAAGATAAATCTGGATTACTGCAAATCAATTTTATTTCTGCATCTCTAACACATATTTTTTTATATAAAATTTAATACCATATTAATAACATATAAAATGATATATACTTAATACACAATATGACATATATTAAATAGTATAATATATTTATGTGAGACTAACTTACTTTGTGTTATATTGTGTATTAGGCATATATCATTTTATACATTATTAATATATTTAATGTTAATTTTGTATTAAATATATTAAAAAATATAATATACAAATATTTTATTATTTTTCATGTTTCCTTCCTTCGTTCCTTTGTACATTCCACTTCACTGATTCTTACCAGCCGTTTTTCTACCCAATAATTATTGGATATAATCGAAGTGGCTTATTATAACCGCAAACGGACGTACAAAAACATTTCACGGAATATTAGGTTCGAAAATAAAAGCGGAGGATATTGTTCATACTATTTAACCAGTGACTCGTGGAGCATCGTTGGTTCCCGTGGCCTAATTTCTCCCTCTCAGCAACAATTGAACAAGCCTCGGAAAGGGTTCAGCCTCTAGTCTGGTATTTAAATCGAATCATTAACGGTACAACAGCT